TTTGCACATATTATATTCATGTTATTATATTTTATATGTTGTAATTGTACAGGTGAACTGGATGCCTTTCGGCCCGAACCCTAGTGTTAGGGTACCCAGGACCCTGTACACGGGACTCATTCAGTATCGTGACATCGTCGAAGCGTACATGCCCCAACGTTGTCTTCGCCAGCTTGGATTTGTCCAAGTTGTCCCTCCTCCCCCGGCGTGCCCGATGAAGGCGGTCCGACCTGCATCGTCGAGGGAGTACGTCGTGGAATGGCCGGATATCATGACCGGGACGTGGGACCAGTTTCCGATGGTGGCTCGATTATGGACAGCGGAGTTGCAGCGGCCGCCCTCTGGGGTTACTCCCATGTGTGACCATTACTACATGGAATGGTTCAACCGGTATTCGCACCCGAGGTTGATCGCTGATCTCGACCACAACGATGATGATTATGTGCCACCGCCTACTGCCACGGAAGCGGTATGTCTTTTATTATATTTATCGTTGTCTTTTAATTAAGTTTTATTTGTTGTTATTGTATTTCATCTTCTGTTTTTTGTTGTATGCAGTGGATGGGAAAGATAATGCAAGACGTTCAGAAACTCTCTCTTGAGAAGGACAGCATGAGTGCAACAGGGAGAGCTGTTGTTGATAGTCTGGAACAGACCCTTGCGCAGTGGGAGTCGTCGTCGAGGAGGGATTACTGATGGTTATTGTATTTTATTTATAGAGCATTATGTTGGACATTATGTTGTAAAATTGTAACATTTTAGATTGTTCTTTTAGCTTCCAACTTAAACATATTATCAGTGCTGTTTTTAAATTTTGATATAACCGTTCGTGGATCCGCGCAACTTACCCATGCAACATATAGAATGCAGTAAGCAATACAATATAAAATATTAATGTTCTCATTAAAAGAGCAACGTACAAATAAGATTACAAATAAAGAATGTAAACAAGAAAAACTAAAATGCAGCTAGGGTGTTCCATTCGTGGATCCGGTCATTATATAGCGCATCCCAACCCTCTACGCTCGCTGTGCGAATGTTGTACCACCGAGGTATAATCGGTGGCACCGGAAAATCGGTTGACATGTCTAGTCGGATGAAATGTCTGTATGACGACCCAAGAAACGCAATAGCTAGCTCTCTGACCGGTGTGGTGACAGTCTCACGCGACCGCCAAGGGAGAACCGTGGTACAAGGATAATAAGCTTGACTATACATCGTACCATGTCGTCGTCTGGAGTCCTCTAGAGAGTTCCTGATGTCGTTCTTCTGAGTTTCAATTGACTTGTTCAGTCTAGCGAACAGTGTATCCAAAGCAGCGGTCGATGAATCAATCCAGTCCTTGGTAGCTCTATGAGCGCTCTCAACTCTACATGTTGTAGTGTTCCCAAAATGAAGTACCTGGTTTGTCCAATATTTGACAAACTTTTCCCTATGAGGGACCCATTGATGCATCACATAGTCCACCAGTGCCGGACACCACTGGTACGAATCCCTGAAGTTAGCCAATGCTCGCTCATACGCTTCCTCTGTGGTAGCCTGTAGGATCTTCCGCCACTTACCATTCACCAATCTCTCTGCCATTTCCAAATTCTTCTTGAAAAGGTTGTAGGCTTTCACTTTCACGCAGTTGTTGATGTGCCATGTGCACAATAAGTGGTTCGATTCGGGAAACAGCTCTGCTATGGGGGCAAAGAGACCTCCCTCACAGTCGCTGACGATGGCTGCTGGATGAACATTAGGCCCGATGTAGTTTCTCAGCTTCTCCAAAACCCAATAATAACTTGGAGCCGTCTCATCCCTGATGATTGCATGACCAATCAGAAAGTTCTGGTGCGTTGGAGCCATCCCAACCATCTCAACCAGAGGGAACTTGTACTTGTTTGTCTTGTACGTTGAGTCGATCAAAATCACAAATGGCCAAGACTTGATCATATCAGCACAATCAGGATGCACAAGGAAAAGATGAGTCACCTCCGCTGTATCTTCATCAGAATCAAACCAGAACAGGTAACCACGTGATTGTGCCTGGTGTAGCAGCTGCTGTATAGGGTTCCTTCCCTCTGACCGTTCAAACCTGAGTTGCTGTCTGACGTTGTAGATGTGTCTTCGGTTTGGATGGTCTTCTGGAAATTTCTCTAACACAGATGCTAATATTTTAGCAGGCTTCACTTGAGCATCACTCATTTCTTTCACAACTAGTTTCGCAGCAGGACTTAAGCCGCTCAGTTGTCGATGACCCTCTTCATATACTATCATCTCATGGTTGTGATACCCCCATTTAGAGTAACCTATCACTTCCCAACCGTCACGACTCCGTAGTTGTCGAACCTTTACTCTGAACTCACACCCACAACCTTTCCGCTTTGTGTCAAACCGAGTGGCTGTACGAAAATCTCTTTCTTCTCTTTTGCGATAACGGTCACATCTCAAAATGCGATCCATTCTACCATCCCGTTGAGATTTATGAGTTGCTACTACCAAGCAAAATCCAGCTGCAATTGCAACCTGTTTTGCCCAATCAATCGCCTGTTGAGCTTCTTCGAATGGACCATCATGTCCAAATATCTCACTGTAATCATTTCCGTCTCCACCATATTCCTACATCAATTATATATTACAATAAATACATTTAACGGATAATACATTTAATTTCTATATTTCCACATAATTAACACAAAAAAAAAACATAATTATATATAATCAAACTTAATTTTTATAAAAACCCAATTCGAATTTTCAAACTAAATTTAAAAATATACCATTTCGAATTTTCAAATTTAATTTAAAAAAAACCTATTTCGAATTTTCAAATTTAATTTACAAAAAACCCATTTCGAATTTTTTTAAAAAATCATTTTCGATTTTTTATTTTCACAAAAAAATTAAATAAAAAACAACAACAAAATCAAAAAGGAAAAAATAAAAATTAATTATTAAAGGTGGCGTCTGCCAGGGCTGCCACACCCACTGGACTGGCGCCTGGCAGGGCCGCCTCACCCAGTGGAGTGGCGTCTGCCCAGGACGCCAGTCTGGTAGTCTGGGCGTCTGGGCTGGACGCCACTCTGGTGGTCTGGGCGTCTAGCTTGGACGCCACTCTGGTGGTTCTGGCGTCCGGCTTGGACGTCCAGGCTACGGTTTGGGCGTCCACCCTAGGCGTCGTAGCCACTACGACGGTAAACCGTGAATTTAGCGGTCACTTACCTCGTTTTCCGTCGACGACGACGTACCTCCGGCGTCCCCCGCATCTCCGGCCTGCCATCCGGTCTCCCCCGACGAGCCAATACGGCTCCACATTTTTTACACCGAGATTATCTCAATTTTAGCAAAAGGGCATAATGATCAAATCATAACATATTTGTGGGCTTTATATGGTAAATTGCGGGCGATGTTTAGCGTTTCACACAAAAAATACCGCCCTACACCCATCAAAACCTGTCAACACCACCCTTACTCACCACGGACCACCACCAACACGAACCCCAAACGACCCTTAAATTTTAAATCCCAAACTTATTTTTAAAATTTCAATTATGGTTTTATTTGGTTAAATTTAACCATCAAAACCTCACACTGGAGAGCTTTAATGGTGGTGAAAAATTGGAAAAAAAAGGGAATTTAAAGTAATCTGAATGGAGGTGGCAGTTATAATATGGAAGGAGGCGGATGAGGGAGAAGAGAGTGTGAAAGCAATTTTGACGACAGTGGTGGTGGGGAGGAGAGAGAAAGACGCGGTAGTTAAAGGAGAGAGAAAGAACTAGTGGTTAAAGGGGTTTCGACCGGGTTTGTGGTGGGGGTGACGGAAATGGAGGTGGGTGGGAATTTGGGGCCAGATTTGTGGTGTTTCTTGTGGGTTGTAGTGATGTTGTTGGTGGGTAAGTGGGAGGGGAGGTAAGGACATAAGGTGGTAGTGAAGGAGGTGGTCATGGAGAAAGAGAGAGGAGAGAGAAAGAAGTGGTGGTGGTGATTTTATTTTTTATTTTTTTAAAATTGTAAATTAAAAAAATATATTAATAAGAAAATAAAATGTAGGCAAGGTAACCGCTATACCGGCTATATTGATTTTTATATGTAACAGCTAGTCAACCGCTACTTTACCGAACACTCACATCTAAATTATTTATCTTCACAGCTAACAACTTGTTGACAACTAATAGCTACCCACACAACTAACAGTTACCTCCACAGCTACAACTACCTTCACAGCTATATTTTGTCGAACACGCCCATAATATAAAAGTTGATTTATTTTGAAAGGATGGGGCAAAGATTGAATTATTTAATCTAATTTTTCTAATAAAATAAAATCAATTGTCTATTCAAAAAAAGAAAAAAAAAAATCAATAAAACATCCCAGGTGGCCGACGTTCTACATTACATGACGGTCCCTCTGCAAAAGGAAGTGCTAAAAAACTCTATTTCCCTCTCTATTTCTCTCTCCTACTTCTTCAACTTCTTCTTAACAATATACTGAACGTTTAATAAACTACTTCAATTGTGATCGTTTATAGGCGAAAATTTGCATGTTCGGCATATTATTTGCATAATACAATGACACGGTACACCTAATGAAAAAGTAAACAAGTAATAAAACTGATAATACATGTATTTTGGGAAAATGTTTCTTTATACTTCCCCCGTTATGTTAATATTGCAACAAGGAAGAAATTACGCATCTCAAAACACATTTTATATGCTAAATATCTATAATTGCGTAAGATTAAAAATTATAAAAAGTTGATATTGTGAAAGTATTATATGAGACGAATCCAACAAGATCTCAATTGAGTATATTTTGCTTAACGTATAACTCATATATGGTCAAATAAGAGTGATGAATAGTGCAAAATGTCCATTATTACAATATTAATAGACGGAGGACGTATCTATTGAATTACAAGTAGAAAATAAGAATATCTCTAATAATCCCAAGCATTGCTAGCTAAGAAACGGCCTATGACGTGCGTTAGCCACCCTAGTCGAAATAAAAGGGGAAGAGTGCACTCCCCTTCTCCGTAAGAACATCCCAGATTGCCAAGTGATTGACGTTCTACAATACACGAGGGGCCCTCTCGCCAGCAAAATGCTACGAGTGCAAAAGTAACAAAACCCTCTCTAATTGTTTCCCTCTCTATTTCTCTCCTACTTCTTCAGCTTCAATTCTTAACTACTTCGTCTTCTTCACCGATCATCTTAGGGTTTCAGAATTTCTCTCTCCTCGACCATGGATTCCTTCCCCTTTCACGACGGCAACATTTCCAGTTTCATTGACAGCCGAAACATCGACTTCCGCCATGTAATTTCTCTCTCTTATTCATTGTGTAATCGTACTGTTTATTCAATTTCGATCATTTTCTTTATTTTATTCAATTCGATCATTTTTTGTGCTTTGGATTATAATTTGATTGGTTTTGATTTCAGTTTAAATGATTTCAGCTTTGATTTTGTGTTTTGAATGTTTGATTTTGGAAGTGAATTTTCGCCTGAAAGTATGAGATTGAAATTATTGTAAATTTGAATTTATTTAATACTTCGTAACAATGCTAGCATAAGGTTAACGTCTGTGGCATTGTATAATTTTGAAGCAGGAAAATAGTTAGAGCTGATTCTTGATTGTTCTCTGTGTTATTATGCGAGGGATGATTGTTATTGTTTTTAATCATCGAACGAGGTATATTAGTAGGATGTTTGTGAGCTTGGAAGAGTATCTTGCCCTGACTGGTATAACTGGCGTCACAATAATTTTCGCCTGAAAGTAGGAGAGTGTAATTGGAGGGTTGTTGATCAAATTCTATTATTCGGAAGCTAAAAAACAGTTTCTTGAGGGTTCTTTGTATTGGTAGGCTACGATAATTGTAGCGTGTGAAATTGTTATTGTTTTATCAAGTCATTGAATGAGGTATTTGAAGGATGTTTGTGAACTCTTTGGAGTATCTTGGTCTGACTGTTGTAAGCTGGTGTTGCAATGGTCTACTGTTTTGCTGAAAAATTATGGTTTTCAGCATGTTTGATGTGCATATATAAGTGTGTATATAGTTGTTTTACTACCAAAAATTAGTACTTATTTTTTTTTTGTTTTGTATTGTAGGATGTCAAGCATACTTTACAAATGCACTCGTCCATGGTGCGAAGGCTGTCATTGGAAAGGGAAATGGAGGTTTGGTCTGCTAAGCCAGATTTTTACCTTTGTTTTCATGAAGTTTATGTAGTTATCATTATGTTCCAGCTTGAGAGTGTTGCATTTTTCAATTAATTGCAAAACAATGTGAAGTTTACTTTTACTTTTCTTCCGGTTTGCGTCATTGATTATCAAAACGCAGTAAAATTTGCTAGATATATAGTGTTATCAACACTATAATTGACAGTTTAGATTGATGTTAGTTGGTGAACATATAGCCACTAGAAAAATTAATCTTTTCAATTTTGTTACCGTGCCACATATCTTGCCAAGCAAGAGTAGGAATTCTAAAGGAAAGTATCAAAAGATAGGTTTAAAATTGTGTTAAAGCAAAACAATTATTCAGTTGACCATTGATTATTTTAGCACCTCTATGTAAGAACAAACAAAAAAAACTATGTAGTGTCAACTGTCAAGTGTGTGGTTGATTCCCCTCAAAAAAAAAAAAAAAAAGGTGTGTGGCTGATTTATTGTTCATATAGTTCCTACTTAGCTTTAGATATTGGTCATAAAGGAGAGAGTTAGACTATTTAGTATTTACTCTTCAAATGTGAATTTATCCCAAAGCCAATTGACAATGGTTAAGATGTCTTATGTAAAAGTTAATTGTTGACGCCTCTGCAGCGAATTCTATAAATTCTTATCCTTAATTTAGTGCAAAGATAGGTAGACTTTAGAACAGACATTGACCTTCAATTTAATCAAATAATTGGCTGGAGGCAAATCTTTATGTGCAAATAGCCAAAACATGTAAAGACATAATATATTTTACATGGCACCCTAGTACCTACCAACAGAGTGTTGAATTGCTTTTTCTTATTCTTGATTTACATTTTGCTGCTCGTTTTTACTCCCTGTGCTTCTGTTTTTTTATGTATTTTGATTTTACTTTGCTTACAGGGACACACAGGTTGTGTAAATACTATTGCATGGAACTCAACTGGTTCACTCTTGATATCTGGATCAGATGACACCCAGGTACTTTCTTTTTACAATCTCAATTTTTTTTTCATGACTTGGGCAGTGTATAGGCTCGCCTTGGTGCAAGGTGACTGTGCCATGCACTTTTTTTGCCCCCCCCCCAACAAAAAAAAAAGTAAAAAAAAAATGCAATGAAGCAAAAAGGACCGGAAATGTAATTTTTTTTGAAGAGTTGTTCACCAAATTGTAGTCTGTTGTTCAGTAACTTACCAGGATTCAAGAAGTTATCACTGTTTAATAAGGATACCGTTGCGAGATTTTTTAATTTTTTTTTTTAATTGTTATTGTTATTTATGTATTTATTTATTTTTTTGGTGTCAAACAATGAAAATTTTGGAGAAGAACTTTGCTATTTTCTAGAACATTAGGTATCTCATCCTTGGTTGAACTAGCTGATGGGGAAGTTGAATGTTATTTTTCAAAGAATGTTTCTTATTGGCATTAACCCAGAGATTTACTACCAAGACATTTCAGAATGTCTATTTATTTCATACACTGTTGCTCACAGATTAATATATGGAGATACTCTGATCGTAAGCTTTTGAACTGCATTGATACGGGTCATTCTACCAACATATTCTGTACAAAATTTATACCTGAGACTTCTGATGAGAAAGTGGCGTCTGGGGCTGGTGATGCAGAGGTAATACATTGTGTTAAATTTTTGAAGATTTCCGTGGATGGGCAAGTATTGTTGGTCACAAGCTCTTATGATTTTAGGTCCGTGTGTTCAATCTCTCTTATTTAAGTGGAGGAAGGGTTGAAGAGACAGCTATGACTCCTTATGCTCATTTTCAGTGTCATACTAAGAGAGTCAAAAAATTAGCGGTGAGACTTTTTTTAGCTTTCATCCTGTTTCTATTGTGCAATCCTTATTTGCTTTATATGATAACAAGGGCTTCAATATTGTTTCAAAATGGAAAATGCTTTATTATATAATCTCAGTATTTTCTTCTTTTACATATGTGGTCCTTGTGGTCTTTGTAGGTTGAGGTTGGAAACCCAAATGTGATCTGGAGTGCCAGTGAAGATGGAACCTTGAGGCAGCATGACCTTCGTGAGGGTTGTTCATGTCCTCCCGCTGGATCTTCCAATCAAGAATGCCGCAGTGTACTAGTGAGTTTGCTATCCCCTTTGACTGTCTACAATTGTCTTACCATGATAGTAGTGATAATGTATAGCACTTGATACTCCCTCCACTGTCAAACTGCTGTCATCTTAAACTTGGGTAGCATATTAATAGTAGATCTTAAGGTAGTGTTGACCATTCTTTATTTATTTATTTTTGGATATTGGAGAAGTAAAAAAAAAAGTTGATTGAGGGAGAAAGAGATAGTAGCCGGGGTCTCCACATGGACCACATCACATGAGATATGAGGAGACAGAATGTGATAGTGAGATAGTCACGCAGGTTGAAAAATAAAGTGAGGTGAACTTTCCATTTAGGTTCCGTTTGTTTTGATGGAAAACATATTTCATTTTTATGGAAAATCATTTTCGAAGAAATCAATTGTCAAGTGAAAACATTATTGTGAAAATAGTTATCCTTTGTTTGATTATAGGAAATTTTTTAGAGATAAAAGAAAATGGAAGTAAAAAGGAGGGGAAGGATAAAGGACAGAAAATAGAGAAGTAAGGAGTAAATAAGAAAATGTGTCATACCTTCTTTACAAAAAGAAAATGGATTTTCTTTACTTGAAAGTAACTTTTCACCTGTAGAAAACTTATTTTCCACCCTTCAACGGAACAGTAAAGGAAAATGGAGAAATGAAGGGAAATCACGAAGGAAAATCATTTCCGAGAAGATGTTTTCCATCAAACCAAATGGATTCAGAATGTAAAAAGACAATTATTTGGTGTCTTACCAAGAGACTATGCTAGACAATTAATTAGATAATGAAGGGAGAACAATGAATTGATCTTATAGTTTTTATGATATCTTCATTTTCTAGTTTTAGGATTATTTTTAATTATTATCTTTATATTTCAGTAAAAATTATAGGGTATACTTATGTTAAAGTGTTTTCCGAGATGAATTAAATCATATTTATTTCAAATGTAAAAGTTTGACTTTGATCTCAAAAGAATAGTGCTTTCCTGCTGCCACTTATAGCCTTATAGGATATAGCAGTCGAAGGAGGCCTTTTTGGTTCATACGACTGTTCTAATTCTAATTAAATGTTTTTTTTTTTAATATCTATATATTATGGGGAAATGAATTGTATCTGAAGGTTTATTCATTTATGGGAAAATATCTGCCTAACTTTCTTTGTTTGGGGACAGGGGAATTTGCTTTGTTCAAGTGTCATTGACTAACAACTAGGATTTCATGCCAGCTTGACTTGCGAGGTGCTGCAAAAAGGTCCTTGGCTGAACCTCCTAAACACCCACTTCAATTAAAGTCTTGTGATATCAGTGTGACAAGGCCACATCTGCTTCTTGTCGGAGGAAGGTGCTTTTCAGCTATCCAATCAATCTCTGAATTTGTTTTTATTAGTTTGTAGCTGTTGAATTTTAAAGAGGTTGTGCTAATGTGTGCCAATTTTTCTGGATGCTAAATGCTTGCAGTGATGCATTTGCTCGTTTGTATGATAGAAGGATGCTGCATCCAATGTCTTCCTGCCGGAGAAAAAATTCACCACCTCCTTGTGTTAACTATTTTTGCCCAATTCATCTCTCTGAGAGGGTTAGTATGAAGAATGATTCCTGTGCTCGAAATTTTCCTTGAATTTTATTGTCGCTTAGGTAGCATTTGGTAGCAGTGTAATCTCATATGCATTCAATCCTGGTACTCTTAAATGGGTTTAGTCTGACATTGCTAAAGATTCCTTTCCACAATGGAAAATTCATCCAATATGGGTAAAAATCTATAGCAAATTATAAATATGTCTCCTTGGATAACTACCTCCAGGAAGTGGGACATTATATTAACATAATAACAAATTTGTGCAAGTAGGTCTTGCTTCCTTTGGTTAAGTTATCTTGCCATCTCTGTAGAAGAACTGAATAGTCTCCTTTGCCTTTAGTGTACTACCTTATGAGACTTATAGCTTTCTCTTTGCTTTGTTTGCATTTGAACCAGTGCCCTTTAGTTGGTTTGTCATCTTAGAATATGGGCTGCATCAAAATTTGGGGAATGTAGGATGCTTAGGTAGCTACAAGAGTGACACATGTTTGCCCTTGGCAGTTCATTTCGGACTTCATCACTTTCTTCTCATCTCTAGTGAGGTTCAATTGTTCTAGATAGGGGATAGTTGCATTTGTTTTGGGATGATATTTGGACAAGAGATCAGCTTTTTTGTACTTATTTCCCTTGGTTACTCCATTTATCCTTTCTTTGTAACGTAGGAGTGTGTTTTTTTATTGTGATGATGACATAATGAGATTTTCATTTCTGATGACTGCTACAAGATATGGAGTTGAGTATCTTTCTGCCTTAATGGAGATTTTGGGTTTTTAATTAGTATCAGCGGATTTCAGGGTGTGGGTAAGAGGGGGAGGGCGTTGTCAGGGTCTTCTATTTTGTAAATAATTTCTTTGTTTCTCAACTCAACACCCTCACCAGCTTTTCCTGCAGAAAACATTATTTGGAAGGTGAGGTGGGGAATTTTTTTATGTTGGCTTTGGCTTCTGTTAAGAACAATACTAGTGACATGCATTAAAGTTAAGGCCGGGTTTTGTTACTTATTCTTAACCAGCTATCTGCTTGCCAGTCAAGTTGCTAATGAAATCTTTTTCAGTTTTCACTATATCCTACTTTTTGACAAGGCAAGATCCCTCTGCGGGAGCCTGTTTGCTTGCATGAGGATTCTAGGTTTTTCCTTTTAGAGGTTGTGGATTGGTGCAGATTATATTTCTAGGGTTTAATTAGGATAAATAGAATAAGTTGTGGCGGAATGCTTTCATGGAATTCATGCGGTGTGTGTGGCTAAAGTAGATTCAAGGGTCAACTCAGAAGTTTGTTTTGTCTTCTCAAATGTCATGGGGACAAAGTCACTTATTAAGCTATTATGGGCTAAGGCAGCAGGGACTTTCAAGAGTTACTCGATTGGGGAGGTCAATATGTCTCTTTTGCACCTGTTTAGACTCTTTAGAGGACGACTTGTTATCCCTATTTTCTACTCTCTAGAGGTTGTAGGTTGGTGCAGGTTAGGTTTCAGGGCTTTAAATTCTAGTTAATAGATCAAAATGTTTCACACTTTATTTTTGAGCTTTGACTTTTTACATAAATGTGACTTCAGTTTTCTGAAAGGTGTCAAAATTTTTGTGGAAGGATTAGTTCAGTCTTAACTTTTAACATTGTGGTTGATTTTAAAATTCTTACATGTGCATTCCTTGTAGTTCTTGGACTGTTTATTACTTCCTCCGCTTTTTTTTTTTTTTTTTGGTTGACACGTTTTGACTTTGACACTATACACTATACACAAATCCTACTTTGACTAGCTTTTGTGATCTGTAGTTACGGCATAACATAGTCATATACTCATATGGGGTCTTAGAACCATATCAAAATATATCTTCATAACATCAACTTTTTATAATTTTTACTTATTGATAATTAGAGATATTAACCAAAATAGTGTGTTGGCAAAAGTGGGAAAAAAAGAAATGTGTCAACTTAAATATAAAAAAAACAGAGGAAGTAGTATTTTTCGTTTTGCTGACCTCTAATCTTATTTAACTGTGCAATTTTTATTCAGGGACGATCAAGCTTGCATTTAACTCATGTTACATTTAGTCCCAATGGCGAAGAAGTTCTTACAAGTTATAGTGGAGAGCATGTCTACTTGATGGACCTGAAGCAAGGTTTACAGTTGCATTTACCTTATTTATGTTTTCTCAATTTCATTCTGTCTGGAGCAGTGTCTTCAACTTCAAAGATCTGGATAATTTGACCTCGAATCAGAGCTTATGCTAATTTTAAGTGTTCATATCATTTGGTTTCAGGACAAAATTCTTTGTTTCTTTGTCAGCACTTCTTTTAGAAACCTTGAGTAGGAGCCAATTATCGATCACTTTCTAAAAAAAATATATTGTATGTCTGGCGTAAAGTTTGAGTAATTCTGCATGAATTTGTGGCACATGAAAATCTGGTTATTGAAATAGTCAATCTGCTAGAAGATGATTTTTTTTTTCTCTTATAAAAAATGCTCATTGAAAAGGGACTATGGAGCTGATAATTACAATGAACTTATTTAATTTTATAATCATTGATACGAGTATACTTGACTTGGTTCTGATGCATTTCTGCTGTTGTACGGTATTGCAACTGTATATTCAACCAGATGCTTTATCTTATCTAGACCTAAGATTCATGGAAGTTCTATGAAACGAAGGCTATCAGTGATGACCATATATTTCTATTCTATTTTGCGTTGGTATGATACTTTGTCTTAGGTTCTTGTGTCAGACATGGGTATGCCCTAAGTGCTTGGCTCTGCTTTTTTTTATGCAAAACTAGTGGCCTAGGCGATGCCCCGGGTTTATATTATTTATATGTGATGTAAGATTGAAAGAAATTTTATTTACTTAACACAATTGGGTATAAAGGTCATACAATATAATTAATATTTAAATAATGTGTATATGCTATCCATCGGATTATAGTCTCTTTCAATTACAGAATATTATAGCTTTGGTATGATAAATAAACCAAATAAATTTGAATAGATGAGTTTGTAAATTCTTTGCTTTTTAAAGTGAGAGGTTAGGGTTCATTTTTTATGTGAGGATTGGTGGTTAGAGAACAGGCGGCAACACATGGCGAGGTAATACGTCTGTCTTGGGTTTTAGGAGTAATATAGATTTCCATCTTATTTGTCTATGATAAAGGATAATGTCCATACCCATGTTGGAGTGACTGATGTAGAGTCAGAGTTAACATAGGTGGCTGTTTATTAATTTGTTTGTTTTCACTTTTTTTTTTTTTTTTTTTTTTTTTTTTGAGAGGGGGGGGGGGGGAATGGGTTTGGTATGGAATTTAGGAATTTTATTTACTCAAATTTAGGTTGGTCCAAACTAACTGCCGAGCATCTATCAAACTTGGAGCAATACATGTATGCGCGCATACACACTGTTTTCCTCGTATTATGTTACTCCTTTTCTTGGGGGTGGCTGCAAGTGGCGGAAACGCTATGCAGTACACATGCAGAGATGCTGCAAAACATAGGTAGTACCGTAGTAATTGACTAGTTGAGAAGATGTGTGTGTGTGTGTGGGGGGGTGGGGGTGGGGGGGAAGGGAGGCCATGGGTTGGCATGGAATTTGGGAATTTTTTGAATGCAAATTTATGTTGGGCCAAACTAACTCTGCTGGGCATCATTTAAACTTGTTTACTCTTTTCCAAATACACACACACACACTCAAACCTATGAGACTGCAGTTTATCACTCTGTTTTTCCTCATTTTATGGTTTTATATTATTTCTTTCCTTGGGTGTGTTTGTAGGCGGTGAAAATTCTATGCAGTACACATGTGGAGATGTTGCAAAGCATTGGAGCTTTTCTCCTGTTCTTGATGGAGTAGAATTTTCACCTGTAGAAGCTGTTGCTTCTAAAAATATTTCCTCGGCAAAAAGCTATGATACCGTGCAGGTTTTTTTTTAATTTAATTTTTTATTTTTAATAATTTAATCTGAAGAATTGGCTTTTTACCGTTCACATTCTCTAGAGTAGTACAATATGATCAACTTTTGAACTATATCTTCACAGATTGGCAAGTGCAAAAAACTGATGGAAATTGCAAAAACATGTTTGGAAGAGGGAGCAAAGTATTATTATGGAATTGAAGCATGTAATGAAGTTCTGGATGGAGGTTATAAAATTGATCGCCAGCTTAGGCATGATTGTCTCTGTACACGTGCTGCCTTGTTTCTTCAGGTTTAGCTCAAATTCTTGGTTGATGTTGGCAATATTTGTGTTTCTGATTCGGGCCATGCTTATTGCTGACGACTTCTCATTTTCCAGCGGAAGTGGAAAAATGACGCCCACATGGCTGTTAGGGATTTGAATCAAGCTCAGAAAATTAATTCATCTTCATTTAAAGCACGTTTCTGCATGTCTGAAGCTCTATCTCAGGTTAGGATCCATTTTTTGTGCTACCTACCTCTGGCATTTGGTATATCCATTAGATCATTTATTTGGTAATTAGAAGATTGTCACTTAATGATTTGATAATTTCAGTTTAGCCCATTTTTAGCTAGAGATATCAATTAATGACTGCACATTTTCTGTGAAATAAAAATAATTAAGAGAGAATTTCTTTTACACCCTCAATCTGGGACAGCTGCCTGGCTAATATGAAATAGTTGTGTTTAACAACAAATAAGGCATTGGTTTCTGATACTGAAATATGACTGCCGTAATCCAAATATAAAAGTACTTTGACTTTTCTAATCTTGATAATTAAACTAATCTTAATATAATTTTGGTGGCTTAAAATTTATTTCTGTGTTAAGCCTGATTTGGGATATTATATTCTTCTGGATGATCAATTTGATGTTGCCTGTCAAAGACTTTCTTAAGAAATCAACAATCAGGAAAAGGCTGATACCTTGAAAGTTATTAGTCTTGTTCTTTTCTTGAGAGACATGTCTTTATAGTATAAATTTCCCACGAGTGTATAGTAATGGATTAGACAATTTCTCAGATACCAATGTTCAGGCAATCCAGATTGGATGCTAGGACAAACTATAAAGGACCTTGAAGAAGGGCGAACATTTTGATGATAAGAATTGATTGAAATTGAATCTTTTGGCACCGATTGTCACTTCCAAGTAGGAATTTTCTTTGTTATTGTATAAATATGTACTACCTCCAAATCTGAAAGTGTTGATACTTACTATTTGCATAGACTCTAATGCAACCCTTTGGCGAATCTGACAAGATCCCATGCAAAATTTTGATATCCAAAGTGTTTAATAGTAAGAATTTGTGGTCAAAGTTTTCATACTTTGGATACGAATTTCAAAGTGTTTAACACCTTTCAGATTTGGAGGTATTTGAGAATTTCACTTCCAAAATTACTGGACTAAATCATGGGACTCTATCTTTAAAGGTGGTGAGACCTTGGAATTCCTGTTTCGTTTTACTTTATTGTTACAAATTCGATCCAGAAGTTCATCGTAAGCATAAACTTTATGATGTCAGAAGTTTTAGATGATTCATGTTAAATGCTATACAATTGTTACGGACATTGCACATAAGGATTTCTCCCATACTTGTGCCTTTCGGACCACAGCCTATCCTTTTCTGGATCTGCTGATTCTTTAACTTCCTAAGGAGTTTTTGGCGCTGTTAATTTATTTACTTTCTTTCATCATCCTTGTGTGCAGTTGGGAAAGCATAAAGAAGCTCTAGATTTTGCTCTTGCAGCTCAGTCTCTGGATCCCTCAAGAGCCGAAGCGTTGGATAGGGTAGAAAGTATACAAAAGGAGCTTTCAGCAGGTCTGTGTTTAAAACTTGTAGTTACATTTATTTATATGTCTCTTTGAGTTAGGTTTTCGGGTTTACCATTTTTTTAACCAGGCAGGGGATGATTTGTTGAGTGTTGCCTCTTGAAGCTTTTATTTTGCATTATTTTTGGTTACTTTTGATGATGATGGGTGTTTGGCAACATCAACAAGCTGCTGCTTATAATGTATTGGGTTGCTGATTTGTATATCGACGGGCCTCTTTGTCATTCAATCTATCGATAAGTGAAAATCATTCTTAAAAGAAGGAAAAAGTAACTTTGTTGAGATGAAGTAATCAAATTGCATATTCGTTTTATGAAGGAATTGTTGTTATTGGGAGAATTACATGCTGTATATCCTATGCACTATGTTGACAGAGTGTCATAAACTTTTCCCTGGTTTTTAAAATTGCAAATAAAATGTCTTACTTCTCCATTTGATTAATTCAACATTCAAGAAGTAGCCTCTGGAGTTTGGGACATTGTGAGGAAGTGTTAATTGCTGCTATGTTAGAGAAGTATGCACTCAGTGTGGGACACATGAAGTTGAAAAAGTGCAAATATTTGAGAAGTCACTTGCATCTCTGCATGTTTTACATTTTAGAGCTGCAAGGATGATGTTTGTATTCAGTTGTACTGCTAGTCGAGTCTTTCCCTCTCATTAGGTCTTTGACTCATTGGTACATAGTATTATTACTGCTGCAACATTCAAACATTGGTTTGTTGAAAGTGCAATTCCATTTTTCTTCTTGTTTCTGGCATAGACTTTACTGTTGTCAACTTTGATAGAAGTGTTGGGAATTGAAGACTTGAAAGTTTGCCCTAGTCTCTGTTTCGTACCTGATGTGATTTTATTTTTTCGAAACATGACTAGCTGAAGCTGAAAAGAATAAGAAGTTGAATGATGTGGGATCCAAGACTGAACCACGTGCTGGCAGAGTAATATCATTAAGTGACATACTTTACCGCTCAGAGGCTAATAGTGATGCTTCACAAGATGGTCCTAGATCTGACAGAGAAGATTCTGATTATGATGAAGAACTAGAGTTGGATTTTGAAACATCAATGTCAGGTGATGAGGGCCGTGATGCTGAACCGGTTCATGGAAGTCTGAATTTGAGGATTCATAGAAAAGCTGGTAGTTCTAATGGCTCTTGTGGATCTCCATCTTCTTCCCAAAATGTCAGAACAAGTTATCAGGTTTTTTTTTTTTTATTATTTTTTTTCTAAACTAAAGCCAGCTTTTAGCCTTATGCATGAAGACACACACACAAGCATGCACGCACACACTACGTTACTTTTTGAAGGCATGATGAGATCAAATTTTCTTTCTTTGCCATACTTCTTGAGAATTGTGTATGTGATGGCCTATTGATGCTTTATAACCAGCTGTTCAACTGGCCGCTACTTTAATTTTTTAATGTTCTATTATTTATTTTTACGTACAGTAGTGAACAGTCCTTTTTTTATCTTGCTTTTACACTCTAGTAGAAGCTTTTTCTCAGTGTCATTTTAGTATGAGCAATGTGGTTTAAGTTTTTAATTTTGGTCGGTACTTATCCTGACTTTGAGTTTTCTTGAATTGCAGCCAGAAGCAGTCATAGATATGAAACAGAGATATGTTGGTCACTGTAATGTGGGAACAGACATTAAACAGGCTAGTTTCTTGGGTCAGAATGGTATGCTGTACTTTTTATTTTTTGTTATGTTATCGATTGAAAGTTATCAATATATTATTCTTGACTCCTGTAGTGATGAGTATTATTCTGTTTTATTTTTTATTTTTATTGAAATCTAATATCTTGTAGTGAATTCCTATGTAATTAGCGTCATGAATGGGCCTTGTACTATTGGGTTGGGAGCCAAACTTGGAGAAGGTCAAGTATTGACCTTTAATGAAAAAATGTATATTTCTTTGTAAAACAGAATGCTGTTAGCCAGACTTGGGCTCTGCTATCCTCGGCTACTTATTTTTTCTGAGTATTATTTAAATAAATTGAGGTTAACATTGCCTTACCTTTAAATGTTGTGACTTGTAATTCTGCCAGAAGTTCTGGGTCAAACATGCATCTCAGGATGTCACCCCAAAAGTGTCAAACGAACAAGGTAGAGAAGTATCAAAAACTCTTTCCAGAAGCTCCCAATCTACTCATAACAATCCTAGGACTTGGGCAATGAAATGAACCCTTTATTATAATTTTGGGAAAATCTTAAGTTGTATGATGATCTTCTTGTAGTGTGTCAGGAAGGCAGGAATAACCCCATAATTTATAATGGATGAATAATTACTTTTGGAGTGCCTTGCACAAGTTTGTATTGTTTTGAAATTTTATTTTATTTTTCAAAGATGATGTTTTGAACTTTTTCTTGTGCTCCCCCCTTTTCTCCTCTCATTCATTCACTCTGCTCTTTGCCTATGAGTCAATTGGTTTGTCTTTCTGGTTACCTGTGCTATGTGGCCTAAACCTTATATCTTTTTCAACCCTTATACATGCCTCTGCAGTCATACTGCTAACATTTGTGAATGAATGATTACCGTGCTGCTTAAATGGGGTTCCTTTAAGGTGCTCATAATGTACCCAGCGATACCCTTTTGGTAACTTGGTATTACCAATTGTAGGTGATTATATTGCCAGTGGAAGTGATGATGGAAAATGGTATATTTGGGAAAAGAAAACTGGCAGATTGGTCAAAATGCTTGTTGGAGACGAAGCTGGTAAAGCTTTCCATATTCTGATTGTTTCATAGGACAATGATTATTCTCATCAGGGTAAAATCTTATTGCTTTATTGTACTTCTCATCCCTTACTTTCTTTTTAGTGGTAAATTGTGTCCAGTGCCATCCATTTGATTCAGTTGTGGCTACTAGCGGAATTGATAACACAATAAAGGTGAGTGCTGGAAGGGCCTAATGATGCAGTATTTTTTATTTTTTATTTTTTGCTTGTTTCCGATTGTTTACTATGCGGAAGCATGCAGTTAATTGATTGTTTGATTATATTTGCGAAAATGGTTCTAGATTTGGACTCCAAGTGCTCCCACCCCGTCGGTGGCAGGCGGTTCAGCCGACCTTGATACAGAAGGTTCTGATGCAGCTAATGTCTTGGAAGCAATGGAAGGCAATCAACGCAGATTATGCCAGACACGTGAAGCTATTCTGTAAGATTTATGTGCTTTGGCATGTGAAGCTATTGAGGACAAACATTAATTAGAGAGCTACAATAAAAATCCTGATTTCTTTTGATGCCAAAGGACCCTTTAGCTGACTGTAGCACACCGGTCTTGTTTCCTTAGTCGCCTCTTGTCACTTTTGGTGCTTATGTTAACCTCAATGGCTTGAAGTGTTAATCTATTCTATTATGGTGCTGTTAGGATGCCTTTCTTTCCTGTTAGGAAAACAAGGAGTTTTAGCCTCTGTTAAACAAGATGTTGGATCAAGAAGTTTTTTTTAAAACAAACCCTGTTTAGTAATTAAGCCATGACTGTGTTTTCAAGTCATTATCCTTTCATGTGCCACATGGGGTTTTCTAGTGTTTTCTTTGGGTGTTTTGCAGCTGTAATGCAAGCACTGAACTTTATCTTAACTTATAATTTGCTAAAACTTATACGAAGTATATATTCTTTCCATTTTAATAGCTTAAGGATAAGTAAGAAGCTGAATAGAATTTTGGTCTGTATCCAAATTATATGCTGTGATTCTAGTCCCTCATAAAATGTACTCGTAGAAGATTTGACCAGTTGCCTTGTCTCTGGTTAAAACTTGAAGGTTTCTGTGATTTTTCCCCATACGAGTTTTAAATGAATTGGACATGAAAGTCTTTAAGTTCTGTATTCCATAAAGTGAGACTTTTATAACCATACTAACCTAAGGCTTTACCACTGGTTTTTGCTCAGCCTATTGCTGAATTTGTCTACTTTGAAATCAGAGGGTTGATAGGCTAGCTTTGACATGGTTTAAGCTGTTATTTTCTTGAAAATAATTGCCTTTCTAATTGTTATGGCGCTTTTATGTGTGTGTGGTGGTTTTTTTTTTTTTTTTTTTTTTTCCTTTTTTTTTCGGGTGTGTGTGTGGGGGGGGGGGGGGTGGGGTTGTCTGCTTTCCCCCCTCTAGTAAACGAGGGTGGAAGATTAGTCCCCCATTAACTGAGTCATAACTATGTAACTCTCATATTGCGAATTTTTCTGCAGACGTTACAGATTTTGTAGCTCTCATTGGTTTGTTTACTTAAGGTTTTTATCATTTAATGTCCTGCTGATGAATCTGATTACCACATCATTTTGTAAAGGTCTCATGTAGGTAATCTCATTGTTCTAATATTTAACCTATATATTTTCTATTGTGCAGGCCACTTGAGCTGTTGGAGAGGTTTCGCATGCATGATTTTGCCGAAGGAACACTGCATCCCTTTGAATGCGCTCAGAGCTAGTTCCCCTCCATTTTCAAGGCTAGTCTCTGGTAGATTTGACTACAGTTTTGTGCCATAAGCTTCCCTGCATCTCATTATCCTGTAAAAGTTCTTGGTAAGAGTTTCAGCTTCTTTTTTTCAGTTCTTTCATGATCCATTGTATGGATATTGCATGGTTAAACATCTCTCATCTATTGCTTTTAATCTAAATGGATAGGTCTAGATGAATATTAATAGATATATTTAGGATCCTATGACCCAGGTAAAATTTTACAGAATTCATTAGGGTGCCAACCAGAGAATAACGAGCCAGGATGGTGCACTAATGCTCATAGGACACATTTAGCCAATATTCATTGAGGGGGACCTATTGTGGCTATTGTATCCTTTTCTAAAAAAAAACAAAAAAACAAAAAAAAAAACAAAAAAAAAACCACATTTTCTCACTCTCCATTTTGTACACAGTAGCAGCAATACCAGCTTGTTGTCTGAAGCTGGCCCTTTATACCTAATCGTCAAATATTAAATTACTCGTACACTATTTTTTGAACAAGTAATAGTGTTTTGATATTTAAATGACAAATCTTTTGGAATGAGAAAAGTTCCATGGTCAAGTAATATAAATAGAGGGAGTTTTATCTTTGTAACACCTTTAATAATCAAGGTACACTCGTTTTTGCGTTAGATTTCGAAGATATGAGGCATAATCACCCATGGGTTTTACTGCAGTTTGTATAGTTGGTTGTATATGGTGAAGCACTGAAGCTAGCATGGTTTCAACATGTTGCTGATTTTTTTTATTTTTATTTTTTTTTCACCGATATTTTTTTTTTTTTTTATTGGTGCTGAGCCGCTGACTGGAGGTCGAAAAGCCAATAGTAAGGTATATGGTTGTAAATTGCTGTCTATGTAAATTGTTCTGTACTTAACAATAAGCTTGGGCAAACAGTACAGGCAGTATTTTATTATTTTTTTTTTGTTTTTTTTCACCATAGGACATTTGTACCGTGTAATTTTAATTGAGCTCAATTCAACTGTAAAGTAGGCTGAATAGTTGGTTGCATAGGCAAATCTTTCTAACCCCTTGAAAAATCTGCTTTCGGCTTTACTATTTTCTATTAAGCAGAACAACAAAACATATACTTCGTACAATAATTATTTGCCTTGCGTTTAACTGTTAAGGACAAATCTCTATTTAATACGAGAATGTAGTAATTCCTTAATCCAACCTCATAATTAGAACTCTACGGTCTTACTCTAACATTATGGTATGATCTAAATCTTCTAATTATTGATTCATTCTATGACTTGACATCTTTATTTGTTTCTTTTGACTTGTTTTGTACTGTATTTCCTTTGTTGTGGGCGTGTGAATTTATAGATTACCTCCAATAGCTCAAAGGCCTCAAACTAGTGAAATTTCCAAAGGGTGTAATTGTACTCCATATTTGGACCGTGTAGGTTAAGTGGTTAACTCATGCTCATACAAAACTATTGCTACAAGCGTTAATTATCTTACTTGGGAATTTGGGATCAATTCGCGTTTAGAAGAATTCCATCCTGCTAATTATATTTAGCGTTTCATCTTTTGTTTTGTAAATGGGTACGTTCTAAAAGATGGATCATTTTGTGAAAATGTTTCCAATGTGATATCAAAATTTATCTTCCTAGACCTTAATATTCGAAACTAAAGCACCTAATAGAGTCACTACATAGCACGGCACAACGTTGATATAATGCAACTTTCTTGGCCTTCACTTCATCACTTGTTTCTTTCATCATCGTTCACCTTTATATTTTCTTCTCTTATTAAGATGCTTATCTTTTTATGCTTTTACCATCATTAAAATAAAATCTTTATATGCTTTTTGTATTTTATTCTCTCGTGCTAACTAGTGAATTTACATATGATAGAAATAGGAATCCATTCCTTTTACTACTTTCTGCAAGCATTTTTAGGTATAGCCGTCTAGGGAAGAACAAAATTATAAATTAAAATTATTCTAAAAAATAAAAAGTTGATACCAACTTTTAACTTGGTCAATCAAAAATTTTGAAATTCACAACCACCATTAAGGAATAATTAATGTTATAGGCCAAAGATTGAGTATATAATTTGAAGGGTGTTGGACCAAATTAGGAAGTTCTAACCTCCACCTCTAAATCTCTAATCTTATAATAACTAAAATAAAATATCATTGAAAAGCTTGATTTTGACATATCTGTTTTATTGCAACTATGAAGCAATTTGTTTGTAGAAACTAGAAAGAAAAAGATAAAGTTGCATTGGTGTTTGTCCCGCAACTTTCAAGCAATGGTGCAATCTATAAATGTTTATCCGTATAAATGTTGCTTTATTTTCTACATCAAATAAATGAGATGAGCATCTAGATTTATCTTTTTGCAAGTATATAATATCAACGTCTCCATCCTTCGGTCTTGCTGAGTTGCTTCCTAGCAATTGAGTTCATCCATATTTCACATTTGTTTTGTTTTCCCGGCCACCCAATTAACACACATATTCTTCTTACTTTTGTTGTCTTAAGCCTTTATGTTTTGTTCGATCTATTTTGACTTATTGAAAAAGTTTAGATAAATACATAATTTTAAATAAAATAAGTTCTAATACACGTACACATAAGTTCAATAAATACTACTATATGATAATATAAGTTCTAATAAGTTCAGCTCAGACAAATGTAATAAGTAGTCAAATCAAACAAATCTTAGTTGTATTCAACAAAACAATTAGAAAGTATAACAATCAATTGTTGTATTAGCGGTTAATAATTTATCATTAGCTAAGATTTGGCAAAGTACCTGAATTTTATTTAGGTTTTCAACACAACAAAATATCGAAGAATGAAATTAAAACAATAAAAAGCTATAGTCGAGCACATTCTTAAAAAATTGTATGTGTTTCACTAATTGATTATTAAGCTTAATCACCCCAATTACTAACTTGATAAATCCATAATGGCAGAAGAATCTTACAAAAATTTACTCAAGTCAGGCTATAATGCTATTTAACTTAAATGCCTCATAAGAAGACCAATGAAACTGAGTTAAAGCAACGAAGATAATATTGCAAACATTTGGGCATTTGTCTGATTGTCTGAAATAGTGGCCCCTAAACTGTTGCAAATATGCTTTTCTTGATCGCCTCATACTTCCATAGATTCTATATCAATACTCAACTTTTCAATATAATATACTCCACATTCTAATTAAAGGACCACTTCTTCCACTTCCATTATTATTGCCTTGAAGCAATATACTAAGACAAAATTATGTCCTGTGCAGCTGCATGGACACAGGGTCATCTTGCACCTCCATAACTTTCACCACAGTTGTTGCCACTTAAGCTATACGTCCACGTGTTATCAGCGTGTACATCTCACTTGCCAGTTATGTATATATATCTATACCATGAATGAATGAATGATACACTACCAATATCATTCATGGTATAGATGCATGATACACTACCACTTAAGCAATATCGCAGATGCATGATACACAATCGTGCCCTTACATATATACTATGGAGCACATGTATAATTTATGATATACTTAGGGGCGTTAGGGCCTGTTCTCATTGACTGTACTCAACTGAATTGAACTGAACTTATTAGAGTTGAACTTATTAGAACTGAGCTGAACTGAAATGAATATTTTATAAGAGAAGGAAATTAGGAACTAAATTGAACTGAACTTAACTTAACTTTTTATAGCTGAACTGAGCTGACTGAATTGAAAATAAACGTATGAGAACAGACAAATGACCAAAAATTAGTTCACTACATGGTTCAATTGTATATGTACAAGACTACAAGTTGAAAAGACTAGTAGTGCGTGATTTTGAGGATGTTGTGATCATGAACAACCAATGTACTTGGAAAGATGGAAACTATAATTAAGAGTATAGATTTTTTATTTTTCAAGACTTTGATTGGTATATAATATTATTGGCTAGCTTTGAATATTAGTGCATGCATGAAATTGGAATAAGTATATCATATGTAAAGGACGTTACTTTTGACCTAAAAAATGAATATTAGTGCGTGGGTACAATTTTACATGGTATTTCAAAATTTTAACTATAGTTTCATTAGATAGCGTAGATGATAAATTAATAAATATTGTCGGCCAATATCTCAATTATTTATTAATTAATTTGGAAGGTGACACTCTTTTTTTGGTCGTATAGAATTATTCTTATATAAACTATTAAGAGTCCACAATGTACAATTGTTTAATTTATTTTCAATAACGTAGTATATTGAACTGTCAGCACTTTGCAATTTCTTCGTTCAATAAAATCCTGTTCATCATCATCTTTTACTTCCTGTATAGTCAAGTTTGTTGCTTTATTATAATCATGTAAATGACTATTGTGTACGAATTCAATTTTAATTAATAAATTTTATTTGTAAGGTAGGAAGGATGGCACGTCTAGCAAGAGAAGGGAAGAAAACCCTTTGAGTGTGTAATTTATAGATTCGACCTCGGGTCGCATGCTTAAACATTGAATCGATCTCAACTAATTATCCCAAAATCCCAATCATGTATATATACAAGTACTTTAATTTTCATGAAATAAATATGCTAAGCAAATGTACATAAATATTTTCTTTTTTTATTGTCTTGCTCATTTACTTGGACTATAATCTAGCTAATATGTACCAGAGCAAAACACATTGTCACGTATCATATTTACATTAAAATTAGGGCATAGAACAATTAAGAAATATTTCTACAAACTTAAAAAGGCATCTATAAAATTTATACAAAAATACATTGGTTAGGTTATTGAGGAGTAGTTGACACTTGACACCATGGCTCACATGATTTTGAGTAATATTTGTTTGTTGTTGTTGTTGACTTGTGGAAGATACAACATTGTTTATTTAGTCTCCTTCCTATGACCCTCCATCACAATAGCAAAATACTTGAATTCCAAACATTTGGGTCAATAATATTATGTCTATAATTTATTAATTATAATAAATTATCTTTATATATTCTCGGGGATAGATGTTAAAACCACCATTCTTTAAACTATGAGGTCGGATAGAAAAAAAAATTAAAATAAAAAAACTATAGATATAAACTTGTACAAGTACACAACAGTTGTAGTTTGTAACAACTTGTTTCTATTAAATTTTTTTTATTATTATTTATTTATTTATTTATGAAATGTATACAGCATGTTAAGTCGCTTATAAACTTTTCTTTATCAGCGCGTTTCTGGTGTGGCTGGCCGCACAGTGCGGCAAGGTGCTATATCAGTAACCCTTCTAGTAACCCCTCAAGTAACCCCATTTAAGTATGTAACCCCTGACTGACTTAGTAACCCCTGACCAAGTAACCCCTGACTGATTTGGTAACCCCTAGTAACCCCTGACTGACCTGGTAACCCCTAGTAACCCCCAACCTAGTAACCCCTGACCAAGTAACCCCTGACTGACCTGGTAACCCCTAGTAACCCCTGACCGACCTAGTAACCCCTAACTGACCTAGTAACCCCTAACCTAGTAACCCTAAGTAACCCTAACCGACCTAGTAACCCTCAGTAACTCCCTACCTAGTAACCCCTAACCGACCTAGTAACCCTTAGTAACCCCTTACCTAGTAACCCTAAGTAACCCTAACCGACCTAGTAACCCTCAGTAACTCCCTACCTAGTAACCCCTAACCGACCTAGTAACCCTTAGTAACCCCTTACCTAGTAACCCCTAACCGACCTAGTAACCCTTAGTAACCCCCTACCTAGTAACCCCTAACAGATCTAGTAACCCCTGACCAACCAAGTAAACCCTAGTAGCCCCCGACCTAGTAACCACTAACCCACACCCAAACCCACCGTAACCACCATCAACACCAACCTTTCTCAACCGCCGTCCTTAAAACCTTAAACTCCACCACACCACCACCAACCCCGTACCACTAACAACCATTAAAATTGTTAAAAAAAATTATTAATCAAAAATCGCCCAAAAAATCATCAAATTCTTCGAAAATTTTAGAGTATAACTTACCTTTGCATTTGAGAACAAAATTTTGTACGAGTTTATTGTTCTTTACCTCATTCAATTCAAATTTTCTTCAATTTGTTCTTTTGTCATAACAAGGTTCGTAGTTGCAAAAATTCTAATCAAATTGGTCACTTCAACTTGTTTATATGTAAGTTTGACTAAAATTTGTTGAATTTTGAGAAAAAGTAGAACAAAATTGCTTGAATTTTGGAGCAGTTACAAAGGATTTTAGAGAAAAATTGATGGTTTTAAGAGAGATAAGATGATGGGAGTGTGAAAAGTGTTTGAGGAGAGAGAAAATCAAGATGTCTTTTTTTGGGTAATGTTATACATAGCCCTTAGGGCTATATATAAGCATTAAAAACACTATTGGAAATTGTATAAAATTAGGAATTCATGACAAAAACACGCGTAGATCAGTGTAATAAGTGTGTTTTTGTCATGATTTTCTAAACTTATACAATTTTCAAGACTGTTTTTATTACTTATATGTAGCCCTAAGGGTTATGTATAACATTTTCCTTTTTTTTCTAAGCTTGGAGAAGAAGAAAAGAGGAGAGAGAAAAAGAATTAAAAAAAATTATAAAAAAATTGTGGTTGGCCGCACGGTGTGGCCAGCCACATATGAAACTTTGTGTTTCTTTATAAAGTTGTAATGTGTTTCTTTATAAAGTTGTAATCATACAAGTTTTGATTTTTATGTGATTTAAATAACGATAAACATGTTATTGTTAATCATTATTGTGAATTACTTTACACCCGTTATATACAAGACTATTATAGCTAGCTATCAAGATAAATTTATTAGGGCATGTTCTGATTAGCTGAACTGAACTTATTGGAGCTGAACTGAAGTGAATTAAATATTTTATGAGAGAAGGAAATTAAGAACTGAACTGAACTAAACTTATATTGGAGCAGAAATGAAGTAAACTGAACTGAAATTAAGGTGAATAAAATAGGCCCCTATTTAAAGCTTGGGGATTATTTAGGGTTGGGGGAATCTAAAGAAAGGAGTGGTGTATGAATCAAGATAATTTGGTCGTTTACCTAACAGGCCAGTCACGTGCGTTCCATGTGATTTGTGGGACTAAGGAAGCTTGGAGGGACCAAATGCTTAATTATCAAATTTCTTAGGTTTCTTCATGAGTGAAGTGGTCAAGGTCAATAATAAATAAAGTTTGGAAATTTTATTTTTAAGGAAAATAAAGTTACAAAAATTCAGTAGCATTGCTTTATTGGTTGTCCGGACACGTGTTGCTATTTCGTCTTAATCTTCTGAAGTTTCCTTCCAGTTGCTTCTGGAATAATCCCTAGAATACTCTGCAGGTGTTACCTCAATTAATATTTATTTCTTGTTTGTTTATTTCGTGTTCTAATTAAGACTTTGTACATGCAAATTTACGTAGTTGCTCCCTCGTATGAACAAGGCCTGCAATTGTTTACTAGTTCTTCAGATTTTGATGAATGAACACCCTTAATTTATATGAGTTTAATAATCAATGAATGAAATATATAGTCTACATTCTTTTAATACAGTTTTGGTTCGGGCTTTAAAATGGCTAGAGTAGAACTGTAGAATTATTGTAGAATTGTAATTATTTGAATAATTTTTTTTTTTTTGACATATAATTATTTGAACATTTATTGAGAGCTAACAATTATATATATACATACACTACATTTTAAATAGACTTAAATTAAATTGAAGCTTCTGCAACTTTGCTATTCTGGCTAAGGTTTTATAGTTGGTTGTTTAAAATAAGACTTCATGTATAATTTGTCCAACACATAATACTTCTTATATAATGCTTTCAAAACTAACTCATGTGAACAAAAAGATATGCAATATACTTTGCACAACACTAGGCGTCCACAATTACCGGTCATGTAGAAATTTGAGACTACTTCAACTCTTACACATTGGTTGGATTGAGAGAATTAGAGGTAAAGGAAGAGAACAAAAAACAAAGGATTTATCCTCCCTTTTTTGGATATCTTTTGATAAGAGGGAAGGGAAGGAAAGGAAAGGAAAATGGAAGGACTCTTCTTCCCTCCCTCTTTAATAAATCAAATCATTGCAATGTTGGAAAGATTTCGAGGGAAAATATAATCTTCGTTCCGTTCTCCCTCCCCCTTCCTTCTTCTTTCCTCCCTTCCCTTTCTCTTCCACTTTACTATCCAAACAAACCGTTATCTCCTTTTTTTTCATTTAGTTGAATATCATGTAAATGAAAGATTAATGGCTTGTTCTCATTAACTGAACTGAACTGAACTGAACTGAAATTAATATTTTATAAGAGAAGGAAATTAGGAGCTGAGCTGAACTGAATTGAACTGAATTTCAACGTAAGAGAACAGGCCCTAAGCCTTAGGCTTGGAGAGTGATCTTTAATATTCTTCATCATCTTATTTCTTCTTGTTGATCTTTGTGGAAATTAAAGTATTTCTTAATTACTCCATAACTCTGTTACATACATTATGTTCTTGCTATGTTATGCTAGATATGATTATCATTTAACAAGATTAGTATTTTTTTTATCAAGATTTATATAAAGGCACCAAAAATATTAACAAAAAGAACTACCTCTACATTTAGCTTACGTCTACTTACATATATAGGAGCTAACTCAAATATGTAACAAGCTAAGTTTCAATTCGTATACATGATCATATGAACTGAGAGGTCGAAGCTTGGGCTTGGAGATTGTGTTATCTTAGCTTTGTTTTATTAATCTTGTTGTTAATCCATCTTTCGTAGAAATTATTTCCTTTTTAACTACTCCATTAATCTACTTTATGCTAGATTATTGAACATAGATCTTAGATTGGATCGAGATTAAAGCACCAAGGAGGAAAAGGACACTTGCAAAAGGAGTGCATCTGGTTTAATGCTTGTTCATCCACAGAATAAATTATTAAATAGTGAGCTATTAGTGATTTTGTCTTGAGCTAGAATTATCATAGAAATCTCTAAGAACTTAAAAAGTAAGTTTATTAGTTGAGTTTTATTAATGACAATTGACAAATGAATGTTACTCAATTTTTGTTATATATTGTGATGAACTATCATCTTTGATTTTCATACACTTGAAAACCTAAAATATTTGTTTTATACTGTACAAAGTAATCTATATGTGTATGCAAGAAAGAAAACGAAAAACAACAAATAAGAACATTATACAAATGTGACATGGTTTACTAATATTGTGTTAGTTACGTTTTTGGATAAATGAATGAGAGGAATAGTTTCCATTATTGAAGAAAATTAAAATTTATCACAAAAATCCAAGGTAAGTTACCTTACTTCCAAAGCAGAGTTTTATACAATACGTCCTCCGTTAATAAACTTACTTTGCACTATTTTACACGTGATTAAAAATAAAAAGATATACTACATACGTATTATTTATTATTGAAGACATACTCCGATAAATTGTAATTCATTCACTCGAAGTGACATATTAATTTAAGGCTTATTCCAACAGTTTACGCTCAATTTAAGAAGATTATTAAATATTTAAAGATGATAGTTTCTCTATTCCTTTTGTCCTATTAAAGTGAATTATATATATTACATGCTTATACTTTAATATATAAAGGAAACTTCAACAAGTCGATCACCACCTACATAATTGAGACCGAAATTATTGAGACGTTTAGCCAATTTGTCTTCTCATTACGTTTCCCTTTAATTTCATTCATCCAATTAGACAAATAAATCATCATCAATTAAAATGAAAACAAAGTTCCCTCAAACTTTCTTTCATGTGGAAAACTTTAGATTGTCCAAAATTATTTAATTTTGATGATGTTGACATCATTGTCAATTCAAACAACCACCATTTTTCTAATCAATTTACTAACAAAAGAATGTTGCCATCACTCCCTGCCCCATACACTACGTTTTTATTTATTTATTTTTATTTTTTTTTTGGGTCCCGACACTCCCAAAATAATTATATTAAAATTATATACACTATAGTTCTTATAACTTTTCATACACGGGACACGGAAAATGATCTAATTTTAGTATTTAAATAAAGTCTATTTTACTTTTATTAAAAAAAATAATAATAAATAAATAAATAAAATGAATGAATTTAAGGCAATAAAATGCCGTGTGAGGAGCTAAGCTTCGTGTGTGGAGGACTGCCTACCCACTTATTCTCTTCAGTTTCTCTCTCTAAAAATCTATTTCTTTCTCTCTCTAAAAATAAATTATCTCATTATTTTGTGTTTGTTCTCTATCAAATGATCATACGAGGAAGATGATGACAACCAAAACACATAATTATGAATGTTGCATGTGTGGTGACCATGGCCTTTCTTATGAGCTCTTTCGTTGCAAAGTTTGTCATTTCAGATCTCAACATAGGTATGTTTTCCCATCGCCTCTTTTTGACTATTTCATCTATCTCGTTGTGGATTTGACCCTTACTTTTAATTTGTCGGCCGGTTCTATCCATAAATGAATAGAATCGTGCAGTATTGTTAAAAAAACGGAGAGATTTTGTATTAAAAAAAAATCTATCTATTTTGAAGTACTAATCTTTATAATAGCCAGTGAAAACTAGTTTTATTGATCTTAATCAACTACAAAATTTATATTATTTATAAGTTAGTAGTTCAGAACTGAGATAGTCACAAAAGACGATGATAAATAAATAATAAATCATGAAATATATTTAATTTTAACTGGGTTTTTAATTCTGATCAATTAAGTTAAACTTTAAATTCATTATTCCATTGATTAGAGCTAGATCTTATCAAAAAGTTTGAGCACATTAATTGATTAAATCCAATAAATTAATTTGTTCATTAATTCTAACCTTTTATTTGGGAATTATTGGAATAGGTATTGTAGCAATCTATACCCAAAAGCGGAGTCATATAGAGTATGCAATTGGTGCCTAATTCAAAAGAATAATAATGATCATCAACAAGACACTCTCACTCCCACCACAACAACTACTACATCAAACTCTCCTTCTTCACAAGATCACCACCACCAATTAGCCAAGACTCCCAATAAGAGGTTCATCAACAACCATGTTGGTGGGCCGAGGACCGGTAACGGGGCGAAAAGCTTACAACCCACAAGCCCAATTAAGAAGCCGGCCGGGGGCGACACTCGATCGCCTTCGGCCCGTAAAAGGATCATCAACGGAAGAGGAGGCTCGGGGCAAAATGATAATGAAAAGATAAGGAGGACTAAGTCTGAAGAATTATCCAACAATACCAATAATTCAAGTAGTAGTAGTAGAAGTAGTGGTGGTAACGGTAATGGTGGTGGTGGTGGTGGTCCAGCTGTTATCAAACATGTTTTTAGAAATAAGGTGAGAAGGTATAAGCTTTTGGAAGAGGTCTCTAGTTGACATTAATAACATCTCTATCAATTATCATAGTATTATAAATCATAATATTAATTTTAATATATAGTATTATAGTATTACTATTAATATCATTATCATCTAGCTAAGCTTGCTCCCTCAAATATATTTTTGTGGTTTTTTTTTTTTTTTTTTTTTTTTTTTTTTTTTTTTTTTTTTTTTGGGTTCAAAAAATGAATGAAACACCTTGAGCCCTTTGATAAAGTATTGTATATATACGGGAATCCGAATTTTGAGTTTTTTCTATATTCTAAACCAATGGATTCTATAATTTCAGCTGTCTTTTTCTTCATTTTTTAAAATTTTATTTATAAATTTTTATTCTAGGGGTTGGGGTATTTATTGTACTCATTTGGTTGCATGGGATATGGATTAACGTGCCATTATGCATGCATATTATCTAACCCATGCTTCTCTCTAATGAGCGCAAAAAACATATATATGCTTAATTAATAAGGTGTGTATACAAAACTTAGCTAAATTGTCATTATTAATTGCTTGCATAATATTATTGTACGTAGAAGAGTACTAGTTATAATATATATTGTCCATACAAGTCTTTCATATATAAGAAAATTCAAACAAAAACTATAATATATATTGAACTTCTCGATTATCATCTATATTCTCCACATAACTACATGGCTCCGACCATGCTTGCTCCCATCGACCTAAGTTGTTTTAGCCTAACATCGTAATTTATTGATTAGTACATGGCTTGTATGTGGAGTTTATTATGTCGATATCATTTATTACTTCCGTTATTTAATACTTGCAATATTATTTTTGAATGATAGAAACATTTTATTTTTTGATACATCTTGTTTTAGGTGCATGCGATAATAGAAATAATGCATATGACTTAGTGTATATTTTTTTTATCGAAATAATAACTTCATTTTGAGTATGTAAGATCGATTAGTGTGCTAGCTAGAAGATAATCTTACAAACTAGCTAGTTGTATTGCGTTCATTTATACATATCATTCATATCTCCATTTTCGTATCTTTGCTTATTGCATTATCAAACACAGAGTGTTTCATAACAATACCCTAGATTATCTCAATTGAATAATAATTAAGGATCCTTAATTTGTTGATACTTTTAGTAAAGGTGGCCTAAAGAGTAATCATGTCGCTTAATAGGCGCCATTAACCTTGTTTAAAGCCACATAAAATTATACGTAACTAAAATTAGATGATATGAAACTAATGAAAGTATTATTTTCACATCGGTTAGTGTAAGTTGTAACCTAATGAAAATTAAAAATGGCATGTTGTTTGATTAGAATAGTAATTAATCATGATTGTGAACGTGTGAAGTACCCTTTCCCGTTATTTCTGCAGAGAACATGCTTGATTATGATTTGAAGATGATAATGATAGCGATTACAATCAGCAGATTGGATGGAATTAAAATAATCAAGATTTAATTTAGTATATGGTTAATTAATTAAATAAATCATAGAGTAGTTAAAAAATTATAGGTTGCTTTGCTAGAATGATGATTGATGAGGCGCCAATTTCGTTATTAATGTATCATAAAGTTACTTTTGATATAACATATGATCGGATGAAATTCTAGGTTGCTTTAATTTATTTAGTTATAACTAATGGACCCTAATTTTTCTTATTATATTGGACAATGTTAGTGATTGTGTGATTAACAATTTGGTCAAAAAATAGTATTACAACTTTGGCATCCAAGGCGTCAGAAGTGAATTGCGTGTGCAAAGTGTGTCTACTATCACTAGCAACAACTTCCTACCACGTAAATAGAACGTAATTGCTAATACCATGACTTCTGACACAGTTCAATATTATGTAAAGTTGTTAATAATATAAATCTCGACTAGTTTAGTTGGTTGATTAAACTTTTTAAAAGAAGATGATACAGTGTATATCCAAGATCTGAAATTGAATTTCGGATCATATAACAATTTACCTATATAGACAGATCGATTAACTAATTCATTTTCAGAACGTGTTATATAATGTTGAATTCATACAAGGTTTATTTGTTGTAACATCATTCAATTACTCATGGACAAGATTGCTTATGGCTTATATAAAGTGACAAACTATATAATCACTATTTGAAGGTACAATAAGAAAGTAGACCATCAGACCATGCAAGTTGCAAGATACATGTTATAAAATGTTGTAAAAGTGGCATACGTAATTCAAAGCGAGGTTTACCACTCAATATAATTGTGGAAATTGACATTGACAAAACTTAAGATTGAGGTTAATATAAGTTAATCATCAAGTAAACACACGCATACACCATTAACATTATTATTATTATTGTAAGTGAAATTATGAAGTCATTAACTACTCCCAATAAAGTAACTGGTAGTTAGTTGAGTGAGTATATAGTAGTACGTCGAAGTATGATCATTTAGTTGACTTTGGTGTGGATGTGGGGGTGCTTATGACATGGCTCTTAATTTGGAGTTGAGGGCACCAACATATAACAGGTGTGTGGTGTTGCTGTTTTGCATGGTTTAAAGGGTATTTCATATGTATTTTTTCATGCCTTTGGGTTGAAGAATATTAGCCCATAATTCAATCCAAATTCCAAAGTATGGGTATTTGCATATTATATAATTCCTCCGTTTCTCTATATTTGACATAGTTTTTAAGCGTATTTGTCAATGCACAAATTTAAAAACTTTAATTGACAAAATTCATTAAAAAAAAAGGATTGATAACTATACTTTGAAATAAATCTAACAACATGTTGAAATCCAACTCCTTTTGATGTATTAGATTCCCTTTAGATGCTTTCTTAGAGTTTAGTTTATATTTTCTTAGTTTGAGGTCCCATTAATGTGTTACTGTCAGTTCAGTGTTAAGTAAGGATTCTCCTAGTAATCAAATAAAAGCTCTTTAGACGGTGAATAATTAATGAAATCTTAAGCCTTCTACCCAGTATTGCTTTGCTCTTATGCTTGTTTGTTGTTAGACCTTTATTATAGATATTGTGTCTTACTTGCATAATAGCTCCCCTCCAAACCAACTTGATGCATTAAGAACTCGTGGTTCGGACCAGCTTGTGCCCGCCTTGAAGTATCGGCCGTCACAAGCCCCGACCACCCGCACCCCGTCGCCCAAATAGATATGAGTGCTCATTTGATTTAATTGCCCACTTGTGTTGCTTTGTGATCACAAGTCCCTCTTCCGCTCAAGGCTAGCGTTCTTGCCGCTAAAAGGCTAGAGAACGCCGTACATTTCGGGGTCCAAACTCCCGGACTGTGACAATAAATCTAAGAACGTATCACATGACTTTTTTTTTTGTCAGAAGTAAAAATTAAAAAAATCAAAGTAACTTATTTGATTAGCATCAAAGTCAAGACATGTCAGCTATATATAAATAATAAGAATTTATTAGACTTTAATTACTTTACGAAGTATTTCGGCAAAAAATGAGCTAACCGGGCCTCGAAGGATGGACCCAGGGCGGAGCCTCCGACGCCCAAGTTAGTAGCCAAACAATGCATTTATTGAGAGGAGTTTAGGAGAGAGAGCTATGCAAGAGTATTAATTGCTTGAGGCTATATGTGAATATCTGATAAATGGTGTAACTGAAGGCTTTTATACCTTAGCATGATAAGGAGAAATGGGCTTAGAGTCATATGGGCTGACCATGCTGATTGGGCCGTTGACTTGAGCTTGACTTGGCATGATTGGAGGCTTGGGCCTTGACCTTGAACTTGGAATTGAATCATTTATGGACTAGGCCCAATTAGGCTTAATTGGACCCAAACACGAAGTAATTATTTTGTACATGGATTTGGTTAGTGTTAAATGGTGTTGATATATATCCAGAGAAGATAATACGGAGTAGGGTTACAGGCTTATAGCTAGGTTAAGTAAGGTGGCAAATTGATCGTTCAACTCTGATCAACTTTGGATCAGATCATGAAATAACTAACAACCTCATAATAATAATATTATAAGTCTATCATCGACCCTTCTGTTTATGAAGTATGAAACGGCCTCTCAACCAAAAAAGAAAAAAAAAAAAGGTGTTCTTTTAATTTATTGTGCGCGGAATTTTTTCTAGAAGACCTAACTTGATACATACAGTATGATCTAATGATTCTAATCAGTACTTCGTAAAATGATAGTGTTGGACTGTCCTAAACTACTAATGTGTTTATCAGTTATGTGATTACTACATAGTGATGTCATGACATCTTCAAGCCTTTCTCTTGGAGTCTTGGTTAACAATTGATATTGGGCTTATGTGTTAGATAATAGATTTATATATTATCTTGTTAATATTCTATAAATGATATATCTTGTGTAATTAGGCCTCTCATAATTAGGTTGTACACACCTATATTGTAATACCCGAATATTTTATGATTTTATATAATATATTTTATTAAACAATAGTTTATTTTTATTTATTAAATAACTTTTCTAATCTTATATTTTTTATTTTAAAGTTCGAAAAGGTTTAAAACCTATTTTAATTTAAATATGACTCTCTATTTTTAAGCATATATAAACTATTCTAACCCTATTAAGTTTTTGGGATACAATAATATTGTGCAGCCGTTTTTATTTATAATTCTTAGCTTTTCCTTCGTGCGTTTATAGCTGTAGCCTTCTATCAATCTTGGCTTTAGAATAAGTTTATCTCCATGATCAGTAATTGGTCAAACTAACTACCCTTTATTCCAAATTGAGTCATGCACTCATGCGCATAGTGGTGAATTGGTGATCGAGCTGAGCAGTGGAAGTTTGGAGTAATCATGTCATGTGAAATTACATTATTGCGTCCTTGTATCTACGTAGTATTAGATCGGTAATCACACTACCTTAATTAATTTTTTTGACTTGTTTGATTATAAATTGTTAGTAATAATTGTACTCCGTATTGTTATGTGTAAATTTTATAATTTGTGAATTATATATGATCATGATTTATATGTATATGATTAGTGTGTGGTATTATATGATTCTAATTGTCGTATTATTTTTGTGGTATTGATTGATTGTGTTATTTTTCTAGGGTTTTTAATGTTGTTTTT